AATAAATATCTCAATAAGTTTGCGCCCATTATTCTTCATGCTGTTTTAATTGATTTACTTTTTATACGTACATATATATACATATATATGTATAATGTACATCCATACATATATATATATTTGAACTTTCAATTTACGGAAAAAATATGAAACGTAAAATAAGATTTTTTTTTTGTTTTAATTTAAAAATAAAAAATAAAAGAGTAAAAATAAGAAAAACAAATATTCTTAAAATATAGCAAAAAATTTTTCAAATTTACTCCAAATGAATACACAAAAAATACAAAAAAAAATATGTGAGTTTGTTTGTATACAATGAGAAAATAATATAGTCAATGTTTTCAGGTAATTCCACGTCAAATGAAATTAAGAATGGCAAATGAACGCATATATGCAATTCAACAATAAATTATGACAATGAAGCTCTCATATCCAAAAAATAAAAATTAATTTAAGTAATTTTTAAGTTTAAGATTAGTTCTTTAAATGGAGACTTTTTAAACACTTCTAAATCTATTCAACAAATTCAAACATACATATTCAACGTTACATAAAGATGTTATAATTACAAATTAATTTTTTGTCTCAATTTTACAAAATAAATTCAACAACTAATGATTTTATTCAAATTAGCAAAATTTCCATAAAAAACTAATAAGTTGGTAACGTGTAACGTTATTAAAAGTAAAAAATATTTAAAATTGGACGGTTTGTTCCGAAAAGTCCATTTGTAATTTCAAAACTTTTTAATTTTTGAACTAAATCAGTTAATTGAATTAAAAAATTCAACTGATTTCAGAAACAAAAAGAAATGTTTATACTATTTGTTATATATTCGCCTGGAGTCAGTGTTTCCGTTTTGACACCTTTTTGGAAAAAATTGGACTTCTTAAGATTTTGTGCACCTTTTTTTTGTACTTTTTTTTTTAATCTCAAAAAAAAAAATTTCATTTACCTAACAATAATCTCAAAAAATTGCATTTTAATAAGCAAAAATTAATTCGATTTCAGTGTTCAAAATTTATGGATAATGGAAGTGAAATTTTTTCTTTTAATGAAGAGTTTATGAGTATATTCTCCAATTTTTCTATTATTTGAAAATTTCTTTCCCACATAATATTTTCTTATTTCAATATTATATATGTACTAAAAACAAAAAAAATAGTTTTTTAATATATAAAAATTGTGAGTACTTTATTTTGGATTAAATATTTTCAAGTGGATTGCATGTAGCATTTCATTGTAAACAATACTTCGTAATCATGTGGATTACAGTATAAAGCAAAGTGAGGAACCTTTCGTCCGGCAATTTCTTAATACCTCTGTAGCTCAGTTGGTAGAGCGTCCGTCTAGAAAGCGGTAGGTTTCTGGTTCGAGTCCAGTTCGAGGAGAAATTTTTTCTGCCTTTAACTCGTTCCTTTGATTACGTCATCCATCTGCAGTTGTATAAAGAAATTTCCATTAAGTTAATATTATTAGTGTAATAGGCGTAATATTTATTAAATTAAACAATTACACGTTGTATTAGTAATTCTGTAACAAGTATCTTTTGATCTTTAAAATAGTGTTTCATAATTTTAAACATAAAAATAAATTAGTCTGGAACTCAATTAGAAATATTTAAGAATAAATTTAAGAATATTTTAATATAAAAGAAATTCAACTTCGAACGTAAAATACCCCATAAAAAAATTCATATACGCATATATAGAAACATGCATGCTTACATTCAGGTGTATATGTATAAAACGAAAACAAATATATTTTTATTTATTTTTTTAAAGTTTTATTTAATCAAAATAAACCGCAGTTTTTCTATTATTGCTTTTGAATTTTTCTTTATATCTCGTATGCATATATATATTTTATGGCTAGATGAAATATTTTATATGTGTATACAGAAAATTAATAACTATTATAGCATTTATACGCTGAAAACAATTTAAATTATTTTTTATTATATTATTTGTAAATGTTGTAATAATTTTTACCTAGATTCAAAATGTCATATAACATTAACATTTAAAATGAAAAACTTATTCACTAAATTTGATAAAGAAAAATGTTAACAATTTATTAACACGAACAAATTTTTCAGATCGTTTAGAAAATTTTCTTTTTTTGCTGTTTTGTTCTTTTTATGGCATGCCATTTATACATTCATTATTAATGTTAATTTTTTTATGTTATTGTTATTATTATTTAATCAATTTACAGCACAGCAGGAATTAAATAACATCAATATGGTAAATTCACTTCATTTGTCAATAAAGATTCCATAAAAAATACCAAGTAAAAAATAAAATAAAATGTTAAATTTTAAAATATTTTCATGCTTAAGAATTCAAAAACAAAAAATTTAAGTTAAAATGAAGAAAATAGTTTTCGAATAAAAACATTTTTCTATCAAAAATATTTTCAAAATAAAAAATTTTACATGATGATTAATGTAATGCTACAAGATTTTTGAATCAATTAAAATTTCCATATAAGATGCAAATTAAGGAGTTTAGATACAATTACCAAATACTACAAATGTTAGAACAAGAAAATTAAATGGTTTTGCAAAATACGACAAATTTTTAAAATTATTTGTAGAAATAGTCATAAATGCATATGTAGAAATTTTTGGAGAATGATGATTAGATTGCGTTCTGAATGCTTAGAACTGGTTCAAAAATTAACCACATTTCAAATTGAATTTAATTTCAAGCGTAAAGATCCAAAAAGGGAAAAGTAAAATCAAATTCGAGATTTTCAAGGCGTCCGTTCAAAGTGTTCAATTTTATATACTGTCCGTTCTGATTAGGTTTATAAGATACAAATTGATTTGTACATATAGGTTTTAAAGATGTTCTGTGAGAACATCTACCCCGTTGTTGGAATTGTAGCGTAAATGACTAATAATCTAATAAATGTCTATAATTCTAATTAATATAATGTTAAAACGTATAACAGACAAACAGAATAAAAGTGCACATTTTTGTTTATTTAATTTTCTTTTCTTATTTTGAAAAATAACTAAAATATTGTTAGTAAATTTAAGAAATTGAAAATTACAATTAATAGGTTGTACAATAAAAAATTAGTATGAAAAATTAGTATTTTTAGTTGGCGGCGTTCATTATATTATACACTAAAACTATATTAGGAATAATGAATGTTAAAAGCGTCGTGGCACATGTCATCAAAACTATTTGAAAATATAAGAAAATATTTTTAATTTAAGATTTTCAATTTAATTAAATTTTATTATTGCAAATTTACTTTAAGTGCATCAATTTTTGTCTTTTATATTTTTTCGGATTAAATTAATAATTAGATTTTTCTGTGTATGTACTTCATAAAAATTAATTATTTTTATTATTTTCTTTAAAGAATTTGAAATTAAAAATTGCAAATTTAAAATACAAAATGTGAGTAATGTCTTCTTAGTTTGCGAATATTTCATGGTAAATTGAGTTATTGTAAAATAGTATTATGGGGAATCTGCATGTCAACGAGTTTGTATAAATTAACATTGTATATATACGTAACGCACCTGTAACTAGACATGAATTTTTAAATATTTTTTGCAGCATCCGAAGCATTTTTTATTGTAATTTAATAAATTTGTATAATTTTAAAAAACTCTGCACTTTAATTTATTACATTGTTTTGGTTAGATGGTAATTCTTTTCTATATATTCGTATATGAATATTTTGTGCTATATACTGTTATATACTATTGTTTGATCGATATTGAACTTTGTAAGAAATTTTTAATATTTGCAACTACTTATAATTTTTACAAAAAAAATTATTTTTTAAATTCAAATGCTTGAATTTTTATTTCTCCATATAATTTCCATATTTAGGTTAATAGCTTTGCAATTCAATCAATAAGATGATTCTAAACCATTCAAAATTTTATAATGGGTAAATATTTCAAATTTAATTTACATTCTGTTTACTAATTGAGAAATTAAGATTGATTGACCAAATTCACATTTGGATTTCCAACTTGATTCTGTGGAAAATTTTCCATTGTCTGCAACGCTGAACGTGTATGGATACCATGACATTTTTTCTACGAAAATAGTTACTTTGGTTCAAATGTACCATACTGGAGTTTCCTTTAGACATAATGTTGAAATAAAACCTGAATACGTGGTTATTATGAGCTCTCTTATAGGAATTTATTAATAATAATTGGAAAAGAATTAATGTGTGGCAATTGAATTATTTGTGCTATGATATTTCCAAAAATAGAAAGAAAATTTGTGAGTGACAATTGAACATTTTTATTGGGAAAAAATCTCAAATGAGAACAAGCACATTTTTTATCATCGAAAATTCTAGACTAAAATTATTTTGTACACCATGGATTGTTACATAGCAAGAATTACAAGCCTTTTTCTATTGGTTTATTGGATAACAGAAACAAATTTCTGAATTTAATTTAAATATAAATATCTTACTATGGAGCTCTAAGTTTCTTAAATAATTAAATAACAGTAATTACCGTAATATTAATAAAATTTTATTAACGACATTATTAATTTTAAAATATACAATATGTTCAAATCAGCATTTTCCACCTGTTACAAGTACCCAAAATTTACTTTAAATATTTATCATAGGGCATAAAACAAGAAAAGAATTGAATTTTATTTATTCTATTCGAATTTTATGCATTCAGCTCCGTAAAACAAATAGAAATGAATAGTTTACTTTATGATTTGTTATGCTTATAATAATAAAAAAAAATATTTTTAAAAATAGAACAAAATGTAAATTTTTTTTTTTATTTTCCAAATGTTTGTTTTTAAAAAGAAGTTGTGTTTTGCCATTAAAATTTTATTAAAAAATTATTTCTATTGAATCAATGGGAAAAAAACTCATTAATTTAGAATTGAACATATAAAATTGTAAGATAAATGAAATTTTGAAAACAAAAAAAAAAATTATTGATTTTTAAAATTTTATTAATTTTTTCTTTTTTTTTTTACAATTTACAGCCATCACGCTTATTAAACTCATGGATAAAAGAATTTTTAAATAAAGTAGCATTAGTTCAGCCTCATTTTTTAGCATTACATTTACAAGAAGTTGGTGGTAAAACATATGAGAAATCTATGGAATATGTTCAAGAATTTATTCGATTATTATGTGAATCTGAAGAATTATCTGGTTATAATAGAATACGTGTATATTTAGATGAAGATTATAATTCAGCAGAACATTTTACTGTAAGTATATTTGTATGAAATCTTAAAATTTTTTAGCACAAATTTGAACTGATTAAATTTAGTTTTTCGATTGAATTGTGATTTTCTTAAATTCGGTAAAAACTATTTCAAAAAATTTGGAGTGTCTAAAATATTTTCTATAAATTTCTTGAAAAAACCTTATTATAATTAAGTTCTAATAGTTTATTCTACGTTTCACTTCAATTGAAATTTAGTTACATTGCATGTTTTAAAAGAACCTTTTATAATTTAAGTAAACTACAATCATATTATATATAAAATTTTATTATAGAAATCCAAGTACTATACATTATATAGGTACATAATCTGCTTCTATTATTCGGTAAATTAAATTGATATTCGTTTTATCAGTTAAATAATTTAATTTGCAATTTTACAGTATAAAATAAAATTTAAGACCAAGCATAAATTTTTTCAACTTCCGTGCTATGTGTAGGAATAATTTATATTTAATTTATACGAATAATCTCTTTAATATAGAATTACTTTTGCAAATTTATATCCTTAAATCTTAAGTTAACTACTTGTACATTACAGATTTTGAAATTCATATAAATTTGTATACACTTATACATATTTAATTCAAAATCACTTAAGTTATATTTCGATCCCTATAATAAATTGTCTTGATAAGGGTTAACTTTGCTGTTATTTTTTTTTTTTAAACATTTTATATACGGTCATATAAATTACATGAAGCTAAATGGTATTTAACATTAAATATCAATAATTATATAAAATAGGTGTATTATAATCAATATAAAATGTTTTTGGATAAAAAAAATAAATTCGGAAATATTTAGAATTTGTTCATAATGTGTAGATACAACATACAATGTAAATATACTTATGCATATAGGAGCGAAGGCATGATCACATATTCTGTATGTTTTGATCCGGTTGCAAATATCTAAAATATTTTAATGAAAATTTAAAAAAAAATGTATTCTCTTCATCGTGTTCCCTTGCGGTTTTTCAACTCTTATTGTGAGGTAAAAATGAACACATAATGGAAAATAATCTTTACGTAAAACTTATCACAGCCTCAATTAAAATTTCTTAATTTTATTTTCATATGATCTTACAAATGTAAAGTGAATGAAACGTTTATAAAATCTTCTTTAAATTACCAAAGAACATTCGATACTTAAATTTTAATTTTCAAATATTTTAATTAATAGTTAATAAATATTGTTTTACTTATAGTTATAAATAGCTTTATGTTTAAAATCTTACAATTGAAATGAAAATAATAGACACATATGCATTTTGGACCTCAGATATAAATTTCGCTTAGTTGAACAAATGCTCTGCTTCCAATTTACGTTCTATGCATTTTTGAATTTAATATTTACACTCTTATATTGTTTACTTTTAACAGCTGAGTTCCGTTTACATGTTCAAACTACTCATAAGTAACCAAAACTAAACACAACTACACCACCTTCAACAAATTAGTAGATTAGTAGATGCACAGTTACGAAGTTTTTCCCATGTTTTCTGGATCGCATGTATTCGCATTTATATTTTGCCATTTAATTGTTACATTTGAAATGTCTTTTTTTTTAAATTTACATTTGAACAATAAAAAACAAAACAGTTACTTTTACATTTTAAATATCAAATATTTTTTCTTTGTTTCAAATTTAAATTCTTTTTCGATATCATGCGATTAATTTTTTTGAAAACTAAAATATTAAATAAATTTTCACAAACGGTTATGTGTAGCTTGAACATTTAAATGGAACTCAGCTGTAATAAAATTGAGGTCCGAAGTTTTTCAATGTAGAATTATTGTTATTTTGTTGCATTTCGTTATTTTTGTGTCCATCAATCATTGAGCCATATTTGAATCTTACAAAATACTCATAAACTTCTATAAATATAAAAAATATAAAAATTTAAATTTTATAGTTGCTAATTTCGAAATATGCCTACAAGTACTTGTAGTTAATTTAACAAAACCTTGGTTTCGAATTCTTTTTTAAATTAATTCCACATGAAATTCGAAAATAACAAATTTTTGTATTTGAGTTAAAGGGTAAAATGGTCAAAATTACAAACTTAATAAAAACATACATGTATGTATGTGCTGGGCAAATTAGTTAAAAAAAAATATTTAAAATTTAATTCAACATTTTAATTTTTAATCTTCTAAAGTGTACTTAAGATATTGTGAAAATTGGTATTCTTTGTAGATTATTTCAAAAATCTTTTAGAAAATTCAAAAATTTGTTCTATTGTCCAACATTTTATGTTGGAACAATTTGTAATTTAGAACAATTTGTAATTTCATTGATATCATTGACACATGAACATTAAAATGGTCCATTTGACGTAAAATTCTAAACTTGAAAATTTGCAAAAATTTTTCATTAAATTATTTAGGCTACTAAAGAAGAACAAAAAAAAAACAAATTTTAGGAAATATTTCTTATTCAAGCATTAATGGTTTTTTTTTTCTTCCAAAATGTTGTTAAACAATTTTTTAGAAAATAACCTTTTTCCTTCATTTTTTTTTTTTCAAATTTTTTAATAAAAAAAAAATATATGTATAATATTATAGGCATTGGGTAATTTATATTTTGTTCATCATTCCTTACAAACTGTGAAAATATGGAATTTTTTAACACATGAATGGGAGAGTGCTGATGGTAAAAATATTTATACTGGTAATATTGAAGCGATTGCAACAAAAGAAAAGGCAAAATTTCCACAACATTTTTTCCCAGAGGTAAGTAGTAAATTTTCTTTTGTCTACATTTTATAATACAAATTATTTATGTATGTTAACGTATGTATATATGTGTGAAAATCTAAAAAAAATATTACATATTAAAAATATTATTATACTATGTGTATATACAATTGTATTCAAATGTTTATTATGAAAATTTATAATATACGAGTATAGATTTTATTGTTATACTATACATAAAAGAATATTTTAAGGATTGATCTGAGATTTAAGGTATATATTATAAATGGCAAACAAAAAGGGATGAAAAAAGGCAAGACGGAATGGAAAATATGAATATATATTTTTGTTGTATATGTAGTATTGTATATGTATTATAAATACAGGTTATACTTCTATAAATTTAAATTACATTAACTTATTGTCTTTGGAGAATATTTCTTTTTGATACAAAGTAAGTTAGAATTATAATGGTATATTATACATATTGTGTACATGTGTACATACGTACAATGTAATACATACACGTAATATATTTATATTCTTGTATGGAATATCATGAAATTCTCATGTGCCACAAAAATTTTGAAAAAGGAATATTAATATAATAACATGAAAGGATCATTTTCAAGATATTTTATATTAAAAAAAAATGTTATTAGTTAACATTATTGAATATTAAATTTAAATCAAGTGTATATGATAGTGAAGACAGTTTTAATATTTTGCTATTTTAGTAAAATAGTTTTTATAAGATTATTTTGTTCGTATACGGCGTATATAAATATTATGTAATATTTTACAATGGAATTTGTGTTTTGTACAACATAAGAGGTTTTGAGCCCTTACGTGTGCTCATATATATATGTATTAAAATTATTGAATATACCTAAAGAATTTCAAATAATTTTTCAATTTTAAAATGTATTTCTTTTAATCTTAATTCTGTCCTTCCACATTTTATGATAGATAACATAATACTCGCTAAATAACTAAAATTGCTTTGATAACCAAAAAAATTATCGAGTTTGAATTTTTTAAAATTTTAAATAAATATCAAATTTTAATAATAAAGCAGTCGCATAGTGCGCCTATCAACCCGTAATTATAAGGAAGATGATAAAGTTTACCAAATTTAAATTTCAAAAAGTTCAATATAATATTTAAAAATTTTTGTCTTTCTAAAATGTTAATGGCACATTTTCACTTTGAATTTAATTCAAAGGAATATCAGAATATATTGTTTAATCAAAGTTAAAACTTATCAAAGAAAATTAAGTTGATTTACTAAAAGACAAATTTTCCAACTTTAATAACTAAAATTAAGTTGAAATAATATCCTAGCCTCACTTATTATTATTGAAAAAATAATAATTATGATTATATTTTAATTTGTAATAAAATATTTTTTCATTGTATATCCTTCAGTATTCTTTATAATTAAACTTGTACGTACATATATTATGTAATATGATACAAGTACAAGTATTATATCGGATTGAATATACAAAAAAATTTAACATAGCTAGTTGCCTTTAATTCTTTAGAATATCTTTCATAATAAATTAATATCAAATGTTGGGTAAGCAAAAAAAAATTTTACAAGTACATTCTTTTATGTATGTGTATATAAGCCACTCTCTAAAATAGTAAAAACATCTGAAAAAGGTTTTGTTGTATACATATATACACAATCTAACCACAATCCCTTTTCGTTTAAAATAAATATGTATGTAGATTTGTAGAAGTGTGCATATTTTATTAAAATACGGCATACTTAAAATCTATTGTATACGAAAATTTCCTTAGGAGATTTTATGAATAAAAACAGAAAGAAAAAACAAAACCAAAATAATAATAAAATTTTTGCTTGATAAAAGTTCATAAAACCTACTGTTTGGCATAATGAAATTTTCTTAAAGTCGTTTGGTTTTTAATCTTTTCCGTTTTTTATTGCTATGGAATAAAATTAATTAAAGGTGAGCCGAAAAAAAGAAACAAAGTTGATAACAAAGAAAATAAAAAGTAGCAAACAAAAAAATAATCTTTTTTTTTTAAAAATAATCCTCTTTTGGATTTAATCATTGAAACTTTTTTTCTAACATAATGTTTTTCTCTTCTAAAAAAGCGCAAGAAACATAAAGAAATTTGAAAAAGGTCCCTATTAGTTTCACTCTATCCAATCGTTTGCCTGTCTGTGTGTCTGTTTACAAAATTTGTACGTCTTTTAAGATAGGAAGCTTAAAATTTTATATACAAATAAATCTTTTTAATAGAAACTTATTTCTCTAGTAGAAAATCCCTTCCTCTAAAAGTATAGCCCCTTAAAATCCTAAATGATCAACACAATAATTTTTGAAATTCTGCAAAAGCTGAAAAATAGTGACTGTGTACCGAGGCGCAGTGTAGTCAATCGCTGCATTAAAAAAATTACCGTTTTATTATCGTTTATCTTTTAGACACTAAGTTGTACGAGTCTGACATTTCAGTTCTTTCTAAATGATAATAAAATAATTTATTTCATTAGAAATATTTTTTTCCCTTTGCTCCCCTTGCGAGTTATCGTTTTTCGAAGCAAAAAGGTAAAGGTTTGTTACTCTTAATTCACTAACTTAAACGTCAAATTAAATAATTTTTTTAACGCTTCTTAAATTTTTTTCTCATCATCCTAAAAGTATGCAATTTTTAAATTTATATTAATGAAAGTACATTATGTAATTAAAAAAAGCGATTTCTTTTTTTAAAAAACGTTTACTTCTTCAAAGGAAAAATGCTATTTTACCAACCATTGCTTTGATCCGAATTTATTAGTTATCATTTTTGTGTGGAATTAATTAAGGGTCAACTAATTAAAATAATTTTTCACTAAATGTGTTACAAGTTTTGTTTAAATCTTAAATAAATTCTAATTTTGTATGTTATGTACATTTATATATTTATATAATTCATAAACATAAACTGGGCGAAACTATGACGTCATTATGATAAATAAGTAGTTGAATCTTTTAGTAATAAATTGTATAATTTTATGTTTTTTTTAGTTTTGTATTAAAAATGAATGTAAATTTTTTAACAGAAATTGGTATATTTTATGGGAATAAAATTCATAATATATATATATGTACATATATACATTCATATACGTGTGACCATGCAGGATATAAAAAATGTTTTATTCATTTTTATTGTTGGTATAAATGAAAGGATTTGCTTGATTATTTTTAAATTACCATATTACTTTTTTAATAAAATTTTTCGCCTTTTTAATCTAAACCTTTATAAATATTTAACAGTTTTGGTAAATGAAAACAATTATTAAATTATATTAAAGGTCATTTTATGTGAAATTATTTTTTAAAATATTTTAATTTAAATCATTTTTATAAAATTAAATATTTATGAAAAGTAAGATACATAGTTGAAAATTTAATAAATTTAAAAAATTTATGGAAAATAGTTTTTGTAAATATTTCGATTCTTAAAGTAGCTGTGAATTTTAAATATGTATATCGAAAAACATAGTCTAATTTTAGAAACACTGCATAAATAATTTCTATGAATGTTTTCTGATCTAATAGCAACATTTTTTTTAATCTCTTTGATTTAGTTTAGAGCATTATTTGACCACAAATTAAGTAATTTTAATTTATTAATTTCATATTATCCTAAACAAACCTTAGAAACCGTCTTTAAATAGTAATTCAATCCAAAGCTAAATACAATCACCCCTAGCATTGTCAAATAAAAACAAACTTTGCTTTTTGCAAACTTGGCATTGAAATTTGTTTTTCAATTGACAGTATAACTAATATTAAAAGTATTCATACCATCCTACTTAAAATTTCCAGCCTAGTACCCATTTTCTACACCAGAGTCAACGCAAAAATTAGCTTTACACAAAATTAAATATTAACCAACGCATGCTGGTAATACTTATTTTCTAAATTTTATAGAAACACCCCAAAATGCTTTATCATAAAATTTTCAAAAAATTTTAAATATACGACTTGCTTTACTCATTTTATACAATTCGGTCATCAGAGTTTGCGATTTTTTTACAATACAGAATACTGCCTATTATAAGTTTTTTTTCATAATATGGTTACATTCTATGTGCACCTAATTAAATTTTATACAAAAATCGTATTTGTAACTCTAAGATATCTTAATTTTAAAAAAATATTTCTTTAATTTTATAAATACAAAAAACTTTTAAAATATTTTCATGATATCTTGCTATCGTTTTGCAATTTAATTGGTTTTTCGTTAATTGCGTCAATGCTCTCTTTTATTATATAAAATTGTTAGAATTGTTTATATAAAATAAATTTCCAATTCTATATATGCAATTTTTGAGATACTACAACCCAGAAAAATTGAAATTACTGTAAAAGTTTTATTTACTTCCCATGTAACAAAATGTCTAAAATCTTAAACTTTTTCGTTAATTTTTTGAAATGAATAATTAAATTTTCACATTTTTCGAATATTTGAATGAATTAAGAAATTCAAATCGTAATTAAAATGAAAAAAGAAGAAAAAATTAAGTTGATAAAATGTTGAAAGTGTTATTAAATTTGATTTTCAACTAAAAGATTTTTAGAATTTCAAAAAGAAAAAACAACTTTAATCACAATCAGAAAATTACGACAAAAAAAAGGTGTTAATATAATCAACTGAAAAATTTGAGTGCCTGGTACGTTCATTTTATATTTTAATATACATTTTTGTATTAATGTATCAAAATTTTTATGTATGTATGTACAATGTACATTAATATTATGTAATAAGATGAATAGAACGTAAAATATTAGAAAATTTCAAATAATAAGAAAAAAAATTTTAGTGAAATTCTCTCGATCTGGAAACAACAAATCGTGCATGAAAAATTATGAATAAAAAATTATTATTTATTCATGTCACACCATTCAACTGAATCATATTTATTATTCTATATAAAACAAAAAGCATCATACACTTATGATAATAAAGTTTATGGATAAATTTAATAATGATAAAATATGTAAGTGTATAAA